GGGGGGGGGGGGGGGGGGGGCCCCCAGGGGCCCCCCCCCGCCAGTTAAATAACTTTTCCGGGGGGGGGGGGGAAAAAGAGGGGGGGTGTTGGAGTTGGGGGAGAGGACGATGATCAGGCAGGGAGCGTCTGTGGAAGTACAGTGGAGGGCAAGGTGGCCGTGCTCCCCCCTCACCAAAGAAGGTCCGGGGCGCTGGGGGCTCTGGGGGCGCTGAGGGGAGCGCTGTCCCTCCTTCTGGCCTCAGTGCCTCAAAGGGGTTTCCTGCAGAGAGAGAAAGGCCCCCCAGACCGCACAAAGGTGAGGAGGCCAGGAAGGCTCCCGCGTTCTCCCCTCCTGTCCCCCAGGTGGTCCCGGGAGGGGGAGGCCAGGGGAGGGGCCAAAGAGCCCTCCCCCCATATCTGGCAAAGGCAGGGAGATAGGTTGCCCCCACCTGCCCGTTCTGCCACCCTAAGTGGGCCAGGCTGTGTCCCTTGCCCCTTGGGGTGGGAGGGCAGGGTGGGGGGCTCCAGCACCTCCTCCACCCTATTTATTTCTTAATTCATTGCATGTATGGGCCTCCAGGTTGCCCAGGTTCACCCTGACTCTGGGCAGCTTACAAGGTGAAACTCTTAAAAACAGAACAGAGACTGCAGCAAACAAACCCACCATCCACTCTAGCCTAAAGCCTGGAGGAAGAACCAGGCTTGAAGGGCAACACCATCTAATCGATGGGGCGCAAAGCATGCCAGCTCTGCCCAGTTGGATAGGATGGGCAGAAGCTATGGAGACGTAGGTCCCCCCAAAATAACCAGGCCCTCCGCTGTGAAGGGCTTTATACTGTAGGTGATAACCAGCACCTTGAACTGCAGCCAGAAACTTACGAGGTGCGGTTGGCGAATCAGTGGCATTAGATGGGCATACCCCGCCATGCCCATAACTGCCCATGCTACTGCACTGTAGACCCACTGCAGCTTCCAGCCCCCGCTCACCACTTTGGAGGAAGGGCACGGGATTCTCAGCAGAGCTGTTCTGCAACCCCACGCCATAGTCGGGGGCTCTCACCAGCATGCTCTCTCCGGCCCAGTACCCGCGAGTCAGCCCTCGGGCAACGAGGAAGCCCTCCTTGTTGAAATTCTCGCTGGTCGCCTCTGGGAAGCAAAGGGAGGGGTGGGACCCACAGCTTGGCCCTGGGCTTCCG